CCAACAGAGGTGTTCATAGCAAAATATTTTACAGAATTTGTTGGTTTTTTTTTTATCGAGAAACTAATAATTGTATTATATCACGCGCACGGCTGGATCAAGGAGGACTCAAAGGGTCTATAACCTGGGATCGCAAGTTGAAGGGGGCCAGACAATGTGTCTTTTTGTTGTTGACCTCTCGGTTTGCTTATTTATACGAATATTAGAATATTAGGTATATGAATCTTTTCATTTTTCTTTTTTTTTTGGCTTAGTTTTAGCCCCGGGTTCACATAACCCTAAATCTGGCCCTGACCAAAATTTCGGGGGATGAAGTCTCTGACAGATCACTGTACCATTTATCTGGTGTATAAGCGATGGAACGACGACGGTTTCTAAACTTTAAAATTGGCGTTCGTCCTCGTTTCCCGCTGTCCCTTTTTCCTTCAATTCAAACTGTGATTATTAGATTCGAATAGGGTCTGAATCTTAGATCGTGAGCTATGGAGAGCTATACGCAATCAAACGTGTCGCCAACATATCAAGAGGGAATCTCACTTTGCGCATGCACGAAGTACATGTTATTTGCAGTCTTATCACAATCTATCTAATAAAATATCACAAAATATTGTAATATATTAATCTATGTAAAATATACATCTGGATAATAACCGACTCGTAGGTTTTAATGGTATTATTATAAAATATTATTTAATCTGTGGTATTATGAAGAGGGCGACGCATGCGCAGTAGCTACACGCCCTCTTGATGTTCTAACGTCGTACTCGTTTCACATGAAGTATAACCGTAGCTCTGTCAATTTATATACTCGTATGCTCTAAGGTCTAAACACTGAGGACTTTCACCATACTATCAGACCCCGTATACAGGGTAATTCACTAAACGTGCTCGCCCCATTATTTTGGTTAAATTTTGCATATATTGCAATTCTGATTTTTGGAATTTTTAAGTGTAGTTCAAGTCGATATTTTCGAATATTTATTGACACCAAAATGTATTAAAATAATACTCCGTCTAGTAGTGGAATTTTCAATATACGTTCTAATTTGAAAAACCAATGTTGGTATCGCCACAGGATATTCTATCTAAGGAAAATCTAAGTATTTTAAAACATCGGTTATAACTACGCTATATATATGCTTAACAATTTATTCCGGAAATCGCAATATTTAAATGTATGCAAAAACTAACCAAAACAAATGGGGTGAGCATGCTCGGTGAATCACCCCGTGTATAGCGGAACCGAAATCGTATAATAATATTATAACGTATGCGAGTGCTTTCGTGTCCTTTTGAACGAAAACTGGAACTGTTACACGATAACGTTATCTCGGTTCACGTAAACGACGTACGCGCGGGAACTATTACCACGTTTCCCAATACGTGTACGTGTGTTTTAATGCGACGCGTCCCCGCGTGTGTCGTACGGGTACCGGTAAATTATCGCGGGAAATTCTCGCCCGGCACATGGCGTGATGTCGTTCGGTGGCGAAGGAAACGCAATAATTTATATACGGTATAATAATAATAATAATATTATAGGTACCTATAACTGCGTGCCACGCGATGAAATAATAATAATAATAAAAAAAAAAAACGTATTAAGTGTATTATAATCGACGGGTTGGGGGGAGGGGGAGCGGGAGAATTAAAAAACTGGTATGCCGCATAATAAACGCCGGTACACGGAGATAGGTATATATTTCAATAATGGCGCACGCACACGCGGTATAGAATATAAAATATAACGCGATACGGATCTATCCCGCGAAAATAATATTATGTGCCGTGTCCGGCCGTCGCGTACGTACAAATAGACACAGTCGCCGGACGACCGAATGGGTTTTGCGTCCAGTTATTTATGTTCTTGTACACGCGCGGCGATATTATTGTTGGCGAGTTTATATCTTACGCGACGGTTTTAGCATATAATATCGTATTATTAATATCATATTATGGTATTGCACAATGTTATATGCCAGGGCCCGGTGCGTTCTCAGGAATTTTCAATGGAGTGGGTGTCGCGGGTGATTTCTAGAAAAATACGTAAGGGGCTATCACACCTTTCTAGTTATGACACTTAGTATTATTTTAGATTCTGAGTGGAGCGAGGAATGTGTTAGTTTTACGACGATGTTTATTTTAATTTTTTTTTTTTATGTGAACATTTTTTCTACCAGAAAGCATAATCCGATTGTTATCAAGTACAGCAACTTTTCTGAAGGGAAATGTTCTGTGGGTGATTCTTCATAGAGGACAATTTTTGAAAATCTCATTAATATTCGAGATAACGAGGAAAACCCGTTTCTTTAGGTTAAACAGAGTTGAAAGATTAAAAATACAATTTTCATTGGCAACCGTTTTTGTTTATTTTTTTCATTATTAAGTTTTTATATTTTAATCTTTTGTAAACAGTAATTGTTATCATAGAAACGCGCATTGTTTTAATTATCATTTTATCACAATATGATATATATGTTGACAAAGCAACATTATCAACTGAACTCAGCTCAGAATCAATTTTTTGTTATCAATGGTTTATCGTTACTTACAAATAAACATTAAATTCCCGTCTACATTCTTTCTTCCCAACTTCTCACCTATAACAGTGGCTGCGCTTACGAGCAAAATATGGTAAAATAATTACAACAATGCGCATTTCTATGACAACAATGAATGTTTAAAAAAATATTAAAAAAATTAAAATTTAATAATAAAAAATAAATAAAAACAGTTGCTAATGACAACCTTAATTTTAATCTTTCAATTCTTTTTAACCTAAAGAATCGGGTTTTTCTTATTATCTTGAATATTAATAAGAATTTTAAGAAATGACCTCTCTAAAGTACCACCCAGTATATAGGCTAAATTTTCGTTGTGGTTTGTGAAAATGATATTCACGTAAAAATATGTCATTTTCTTCAAAAAATAAATGAAAAACCACAGGTTTTTTTGTGCAAACATTTCGTAAATAATTTAATAGACGTAACTATGTATATATAGAAGAACTGTTCCATTTGTCTTAAGTTAATTACGTTAAAAATTATTAAAAAAGTTACTTATAACTGAACTTTTTTAATAACTAGGGCTACTCGCATTTTCGAAGATCGTTTTGGAAATAATATTATAATAACAAGTTTTATTCGTCGTCGTGTCAGTCAGCTGTATCAAATTCCTTTTGAAAACTTATAACTGATCAATTTTATGTCCTCGTCATTTGGTTCCTCAAAGGAAACGCCCGTTCCTCTTGCATTTTACGTTAGTCATTCTGCACCGCATTAGATGTTAGCCGTCATTTACATCTCCACATTTACACATTTTTCAGTCTCTTCTTGGGTTCGTTTCCCAAACCGAAACGACGTCGAGTTGGTTTCGGTGGATTATTAGAGGTTAAGGTTTCACAAAATATAATATATAACCAGCTGCTTGTTGGTCCAAACTTGATACTGAACCTCCTAAAGAGTCAGTATCCTCAGAATAAACCTAAAACCTATATTCGATAAAAGACCACGACGGGTTGCGTATTTACTTGCACCACTTAGGTCGAACTCGGATACGTATATTGTAAATACGCGATAGGTCTTGCGAGCCGATTATTTGGTCGTTTATTAGACACACCTAGGTGTGCCTTTAAACGAGGAAAGTAACATCGGTTTTGTACGAAACAGTTTAGAGGTATCCGGGACGAAATTATGGCGGACGATAGGTACTTACTCAAAGTGGAAAGTTATTGTAGCCTCGATTTGAAGCGTAATGCCGGGGTAGAAGAACATTGGAATTTCATTAGAAGGAGAAATTAAGTTAAGAATAAAATTGTACCAATAAACGAATTTACGATTTACCGTATTAACGAACGGTAATTAATACAAAGAACAATAACGATTCGGGAGGCGTGAAGGTTCTTAAAATATCAGTACAATCCCAAGGTCGTACACAAATAATAATAATCAAAATTAATTTGTTAGTAAACAATTTGTATGATTACGATAATATCGTTCTGTGTGTTCCTCAGTAAACAATTTTCCGACAAATTAGTCCTTGTCTTTCTATCGCCTCGCCATGTTTATTGGTTGTCCACTAGATGAATCGGTGGATAATAGGATTGGCAATCAGATATTTATAATAATTTCCCGCGGAACATCGATAAGTACGCAGGATTTTTAGTATGGGTTAATCACCATCGAGTCTGATGAGAAACACACGGATATTGTCCAGTACTTGTTATTATCTTTTAGTGATGACACAAAATAAACTACTGCTATTGCTAATCACTTAACCGCATTAGGATTATTATAATAATTTCTTAGGAATTTTTTAAACATTATAGCATACGTAGAATACGTATCGAATTTCGAAATAGCATTACAAAAGTATACAATAATAATTTGTTAAATTATTATTGATTTATTGGTCTAAAATGTTATCATATAGGTACTAATATAATATAATACTAAACTACATGTTAATTACCTTAAAGACTGGCAACACCCGTTTTAAAATTTGTCAATAAAAGTTACATTACTGTGAACACATAGAACACAACGTACGAGTTTCAAATTATGTTTTGACTTTCTATTCAATGTTCTTTTTAATGTATTATTCTCACAATAAACGCAGTAAAATATCGTTGTGTAATTTATTGTATCAATTATTTCAATGAATAATAACTGTTATCTATTGGTTATTACTAGAGCTCGGGACTTATTGTACTTAAAATCCAAAATAAAACGATTAAAAATGTCAAAAAAGCACTTACAAATATTTAAAATATCAAATGGGTTTAAAACTCTAAATTTATTAAATATGATTTTTTGACACTACACAAATGATTACCACGAAATAATTTTATTTAGAAAAAATTCCTTCGCGTTAATCATTCTTTTAAATCCTTCTACCATTTTTGCTTTTTTAAATATTTTTTAAGAACTATTTTGATTTTATACCGCTTGATTTTTAGATTTAAAATAAGCCCCAAATCCTAGTATTACTATACAGAATTACTACATATGAGTTTGTTCGTTTGGTATAGTTTGTTCTTCATCCATCTGTCTGAATTTTCCGGGTACACTGCCGGACGGTACTTTTGGTTTGGGTTTTCTATTCAACTTTACCAGACTTTTAAGTTTTCGTCCTATGGACGAGACACTTTCGTTTAGATATAACATTATAGGAGACAAGACACAGTGACCGTAAGCTTACTTGTTTCGTTTTCTTCGCGGAAACAGCACACGCTGAACACCGCGAGCATTAATAAGACAACTAAAAAACAGACGAAAACCACGTAGTAAGTTTGTGCCGGAACCAGATCCTATAAACAACAAACATGTAGGTGTACATAATAATAATGTATAAATATCTAATAGAACGAATTAACATTTGTACGAAAATCCAATCACAGAATATAATATAATTTACAGTCCGATTATACGTACATAAGTACTAAGTGATGATTGAATATATACTTCACGATGACTATCAGACAAGAAACTTTTTTCGCGATTTTTTATTTTTTCAAATTTCATACTAAATGTACTGATAACCATGGATAAAGGAAATATTATAAATCTTCAGCACGATGCTCGGGCAAATCGGTTCGGTTAGTTTTAACTAAACAAATTTCCATTCACTGTGCTAGTTGTATACAATTATAAATAACTATAAATATATTTTATGGGAAAATACCCGAATTAATGGAATCATGACAAACATAGACGTGAAGAGAAACTAATAAAAATTAATTGATGATTTATGCAATGTAGTCACAAACAAATGTCGTCAGGGGACGCTGTTTTAAGCCAAACATTTTTTTGGTCGAACAGAGCATCTATATTTTATTCGCCAATAGTAATATAAGTATACGGAGAAACTTTAATTATAACCTTTATAAGCTATGATTAATCGAAGTCTTAGAATGTCATAAATTCTTAACAAATACGCGTATAATCAGATACAACAACAATATACGATAATTTATGATATATATTATTGTAGGCTGAAAAAAGCCCAAATATTTTGGGAGGGGGAGGCTTGGCTGATAATTTTGCGTGAGCTAATAGCTGCCCTCCCAAAACCCTGTCCTACCTGCGTCTATGGACCTAGACTCCCAGTATTAGTCTATTCAGTATCCATCAGTGGCGCGGTACAATCGCTTAACCCTAGAAATGTGTAAAAAGTAGGGAGCGGAAGTGCTGGAACGATCATTCGCTTAATGTTATACACGCTTAGGGTTTGAAATATTATACTCACGAATAAACAACCATTGGCAAAAAGGTGCGGACACTTGACACACTTCGCAGACCCGGCAACTAGCTGATGGAAACCCGCGTTACATTTCAAACAATCGGTTGATTTATCCGGGCTATAGTGGTGTGGGGGACAAGCGGTACAGAATACCTCATGTATCCCGAAACCCGGCGCACACGAGACAAAAACCGTCACGTTCATCCGATCGCGATTTGGCACGAAATGCGCGTCGATCATCGAATACTTTGACACGACTGCAAACGAAAATACAGCGGTAATGTGACCGATAATTACCGCGACTGAGCACAGTATTATTATTATTATGCATTTTTTAAGTTATGAACAGCGGGCATATTCACTTGGAACCGACAAGGTCTTCTTCAAGTTTCCGACTAAGACGTTCGTTATTTTCGCCAGTAGTTTTTGGTAAAATAAGACGTTTCGACCCGTCTTGCTGGCCGCGATCTGAACCCAGTAACCAGCTTTATCGTTTGACGTGACCGTGTAATTGACTTCCAACGTACTCTGTTATCACGGAAAAATGACAGTGATCAATAATATTACGGTTAGGTTGCATTATACCACGTGGACGTGGTTATTGTGAATGAACCATATTAGAAGTTATTGTTCAATGATATACACACTTTTCAAAAAACCTAATAATCAATTTGTATTCTCCAAAATATACCTTTTAACTACAATACACATGCATAATATATACCTAATTACTATAGGTCATAATATAGTTTTAGTTAATAGTTCGTTTTAGATTCTGAATGGAGCGAGGAATGTGTTGGTGTTACAATGGTGTTTATTTTTTTTTTTTGTAAACAACTTTTTTGCCAGCAATTTTGCTCAGATTCACAACGGTAGCACTTTTCTAAAGATAAATCAGACTGAGAAGGTACTTTAGGGAGGTCATTTTTTTAATTTTCCAATTAACGGGAAAACCAGGAAAATAGGTAGATACAATATTAAACAAATATTATTAAAGAACACGTCTAATACAAATGTAATTATTTTACCATAATATGACATGTTGTTAAAGAAACAACACTATCAACCGAACTCCACTCAGAATCATTTTTTGTTAGCAATGACTAATCGTTGAGTATAGATAAACATTAAATTCTTGTCTATGTCCTACTTTCCCAACTTCCCAACTACAACAGTGGCTGCATCCGTCCCCATTATTCTAGGACATCTTTTTTCTTGATATTTTCATTAAACTGTAATCGAGTATATAGGTCCGAGTGAGATCGTGTGTAATTCATGAATACGACAAAGTTACTGCGAATATATTATAGTTTTTCCGACCATGAATATTGCACCCCGCTTACATCTAGACCAACTTTAATATATTATTTTAATTTCTGTACAAGTATGCTATACTTAAAATCGTAAAATTCTTCGAAAATGATGGTTTCCAATAGCTTAACGAAATCCACACCATTAAATTATTACGAATTATGAAGTGTCTACAAGCTGTAGACAATATGATAAAAACAATCAAAAACATATCGGTATACTTCGTCTTCGGAACATTTCGAAGATTCTACAACGACGTTACACGCGTACCGCGAAGATCCTTCGGGACACATTTCGGTTTGCACGAAACCGGGTAGCTGTTTTCGCATAGGGTTAATTATTTCTTGTGTGCAACCGCCGACGGTCTTGTAAAACGCCGAACCCCGTATTTCGTAAATGGGTCTGCCCACGGCTATAACATAAACACGAATGTTAATGTATTGTAAAGACTTTTCTTCGGTGTTCCTAACATCGTGTAACTTACATCAATGTATTTTTACTGGGTTAATGTATAGTATCGCCGTTTACACAGTATCATTTCGCTTGTGTTACGCTCGTACATATTTTTGTATCGTGTCAAATAAACGGTTCTGTCGTTTATCTGCGTTTTGTTACAATCAAATAAAATTACCAAAAGCTTAGCGAGTCACATATGAAACGCAAAATGTATAATGCTTCAATAATTGAGCTATTTCGCGCTCGTGCAGGGGAAATAACAAGCTACTAGCTCGTTATAAATAGGCAGTGGCACATTTAGGGGGGGGGGCGAATGACTCCAGCATCAAAATGTTAACAGTTTTAGGGGCAGCAGTTATAATGAATATATTAATTTGTAAATTAAAATGTATAACACTTAATAGAATCATTGACTATTAATAGATTTATTAATCTTGATTTTATTTTTATAAGTAATAAGTAATTGTTGTAAACGCTGTTGTATAAAAGGACCATAAGTGATTTTATATCGAGTACAGTCGCCTTTTGTATAGGCTTTTTTTTACATTGTGTTGTCTACACTTTGTACTCCCAAATTATAAGTAATAAGTGATAAATGATTATGGTATCAAATTATTTTGAGTTGAATGTGATATGAGTGAAACGAATGATAACGTGTAAAATTTACTTATGTCATCATTTGGTATGGTTTTTTATTTGAATAAAATATTTTGATTTTGAAATTGTAAATTGTTAAACTCTAGGATATGCGTTTTAAAATGTTATTCAAAACAATAAGGGGTGTATTTTTCAGTAATTAAGGGTGAAGAGGAAATGTCTGTGGTAGTAAAAAGTAATGGGTGAAAATAAGTGAGAGTAGAGGGGCGGCAATAAAATTGTTTCACCCAGGGGCACATATATTCTAAATGCGCCACTGTACATAAGCCGTAACGAGACTGAGCAATTAAACGAATTATATAATAACTGAGCGAAGTTAATTGAAAGCGATTTAACGAATTAGCACGTTACGAGTTGACGGTGTTATAAATTAGCCAAGTTAAAAGTTAATCTGAAATTCTATTAATAGGTTGATTTTATTTTTTCTTTTTGAAAAATTGTGTTTTTATTTTTAAAAAGGCATACCGTACTCAAATGTTACGTTTTATAATCAAGAGATCTATGTATGGTGGCGACCGAAATACCGACCAAACTCATGGTTAATAATGGACCACGAGGAAAACGGGCGATTACAATGGTTATAATATTGGTTTTATACTCAATTTAGCTACTATAATGTATACAAATTCAAATAAATATTCAAAATTGAACTTTTTAATGCTAAACGTTATCAAGACAACGCGACATTCTGATTAACCTTCCCGTTGAAAAAATCGTCAATACTATATGCTACAGCAGAGGAGAAACGTATGTGCGATAGTGTCGCGGTATTATTGTAATATTTTAATCGTTGGCCGGCGTATTATTTGAAGCGCATAGAACCCAAGAGGTGTATGAGTGACATTTTATCGATTTTGAAAAAATCAAATTTAAAGTTATTTGTATTTAGCATAATTATTGTAGTATACTAGTTGACCTGGCAACGCTTTTCTATTGCTAGATAATAGTGTAAATAATAATAATGGTAGTTTTCTTGTCCTTGACAACCGAATTATCATCTATATCACCAAGGTTACCAGCGAATATACAAAAATAAAAAAGTAAAAATCAAAAATAATTAAAAACCCCTACATAATTCTCACGGGATTCAGAATGGAACGTTGAAGACTATCCTATCTTTTAAGTTGGACCAAATAAAGCATTATATTAATAAAATCGCAGTCGAGTAGTTTTAGAGTACATCGCACCTAAATTTGGGTGATTTTTATACAGTAATATATACGATTATCAAATCATCAGTGTTCTTGTATTCGAATTATATAAAAAAAGTTTTAGACACTCGGTAGAGTATAAAGAGACATAATAATAAGTGTGTTAACAGCCGTTGTGGATGTTTGTACTTATTTACTTGGGTTAACCTAACTTAGCCTACCACAAAATTAAATGGAAATTATATAGTTCAGTTACGTATTTGACTTAGATTTTTAAAAAAATATCAATTGTACCCGTTGTGTTCTAGGTGCCTCATAATATGTATTATCGGTTAGGTTACCTATAACGTAATGCGTGTAGACACTTGGCTTGATTTGTGCACGCCCGATCATGTCCGCTGTGCAAGTGTAGTTTTTACTATCTTTGGGATGCAGACGCAAAATCAACAGAACATTCGTGTCCGTACCATTGATCGTGGAATCTGACGAAAAAACAAACGCAGAAATAAAACGGTGACGTCCACTATAGACAGACTGTCCCACGAAGATATACCCCATTGAATATCTCCGGAGATATTCAAGGGGTAATAGTAAAACATATTACATACAAGGTGATCCGTTTAAGTGGGTACACTCATTATCTCCGAATGTATTAAATTTTTTCAAAACATTTTTAACGATATTTAATGAACAAGTAGCTCTAAAGTTATACATTATACCGCTATTTTTATCACTCTTATTTTCACGGATAAAATAACTACATACTATTGATTTTCAAATGGCAACCTAGTATAGCTGATTCTTGCTTAAATTGTAATATTTTTTTTTTACAAAAAGATAATACTTTCCGTGATGATGAATATACTCGATTGAATGTAGTCACATATATATATATACGTTTTAATACACGTGGATTTATTATCAGTGTTTGCGTATATTTTAGTGTTATTCGCGTGAATACGTAGTGAAAATACGTGAACCACTAGGTGAATATACGCGTACACGGATTTGTTTGGTACACTGTTTTATAGATTAAAATGTTGAATCCACGCGAATACGTGTACACGTGAAATAGGGAGATCTATTATTATAACATAGTGACGAATATTTATTTTTGGTTTTACTCGTTTTGAGTTTGTTTTTATTATAGTCCCATTTGAACGCGTATATTCCTGTGCTGTTGGCCAAACATCGAATCTTAACGACACTCCCCGACAGACCGTAGTGTACTTTGAAGTGATCTAAAATATAATATGAACACATCATTTAATGACTGTTAAGTATATACAACACGAGCAGAGTGACCAAGGAGGGCAAGCGCTGATTCGTTTTAGGGGCCTTGTACACATGAACAAATGTTTTAAACGTCATACAACAAGAAAATTAGTTCAAGAAAAAACGTTCAACTCAAAAAACACATTGAATTTTGATCTCAATTATTTTATCAATCGTTTTAGTCTTACCCTCCATCCGCCCCTCGACTCGACTTTGGAAAAGAAACGATCATATTATAATATCATATACATGTTTAATATTATATACTTTTTCTTCTTTTACTTTTCTTCTTCCCCTTAGCCTTCATCCCAATTATTTGGGGTCAGCCACCCAATTTTCATTACAGTTCATACACTGCTAATGATTCGTTTCTTCTCATGAAATGTCCAAACCATCTCGGTCTATTTTCTCTCGTTTTGTCCACTATCGAAGCTACATTTAAGTTACCTATTATGTTTCCATTCCTTATCCTATCTACCGCCTAAAATTCCAAACTATACAAACATATCCGGTCTCACAACACTCTTGTAAAACTCACCTCCTTTGAATTATATTTGAATCCTCTTGTCACATAAAACACCTGGCGCTTCTCTCCACTTAACCGCACTCAATGCTACGTTTTACGTTATCGTCAAAGTCACCGTTATTTTTTAACAAAAGATCATAGGTACTTCAAGCTCTCAACCTCACTGCCGCCACATCACCGATTATTGTCATTTGGTGTCTTATTCTCCTGTCAACCTCCTGTTCCTCCAAACATATACTCTGTGTACTTCGTTTTGCTTCTACTAATCCTTAGTCTCTTTTATTCAAGCGTTATTCCTCAAGCATATCGTTCCACTTATTCCAGATTGTCTCCTATAAAAACTATATATTATGCATTATGTTCACGGAAAACGTAAAACGCACTAGCCTGTAGATGTATAGTCCAGTGTGGTTCTCATATTTTATATATGAAAAAAAAAATTAACAAAAAAAAAAAAAAAAAAACAATACCATTACTTATAAATACGACCCTGTCACTTTTGTTCGTTGTTATAAGAAATAGTAATTTCGGGCGGGCCCGCGGGCAATCGTAAAATAGCCGCCGTAGCGGGTTATCCCGTTGGTTTTCGAACTAGACTATTAAAAAACCGTTAAATCACCGTCTTCAGACACTTCCAACCGATAGTTGGCGACACGGTCGAAGTCCACTTCGTTCCACGCTTCGCCCGTCGCAGTTTCGTCGGTTCCCTCGGGACTCTGCGCCGAAACGACGGCGGTCGTCGTCCCGGCCCGCGACGACGGAGAAACGACAAACACCGACGCGACCGCCTTGTACGAGCGGCACGCGAACGTCGCCGTCGCCTCGTCCAACAGTCGGCCCACCGAATCGAAAAAGTCCGGCGTGTAACACAAGCACGGCCGCCCGTCGTTGGCCGACTCGCACTCTTGTTCGTCGCCGAAAACTGTTGGCCCTCCGCCGTCGCCGACGTCGGGTACCGCAACATTCGCGTCGTTCGGGTGCACGACGGTCGCGCGACCGCGATCACCGCGCGACGGTTTCGGTTTGCTCTGCCGCCGGGAGTCGAACAGTCCTCCAAAAAACGTTTTGGAATCTATCGCGCACGGCCACCGGACAGGGCCCGGCCGCGTCTTTATTATTTGCGCGCCGGGGTGTCCGGCCGGACCGTAATCGCCGGAACATGTGGCGCGACCGATCGCCGCTGCCGCCAAACCGATTATCGTCAAATACTCGACGGCGAACAGTGGCGACGGATTGAAAATCTTCATAATCGCGAGCGAGAAAACCCGTCTGTTTCGTAAACGGAGGGTGGAATAAAACAACGACAAATCGTTTTGGTACCCTAATGTACAGTGAATAAAACTAACAAAAACGGGGTTTTTTGTTGTTTTTTTTTCCACTTGACAACGATTTGTACGCTTTTAAATATAAAATAGCCAACAACGTGGCGAAACATGTCCTTGTGCGAAAGTTTCTTTTTCAAATTTCCATGAACGTAGTTTTATACGTTATTTTACAAAGCAACACGCACGAGCAAACAAATAAAAGAGGTGATACTGGGGATGGGAGGGGCCACTGTTGTAGGTGAGAATTTGGGAATGTAGGATACATAAGGTTGTTTCGTTTATATCTGTAAGCAACGATAAACCATTGCTAACGAAAAACGACTCAAAGCGCAGTTTGGCAATACATAATTTGAAGTGCCGTAATTTTTTTTTGCGATTTTTGATTAAATTTGATTTCAAAACGCTTACTGAAAAAAATTCTACGAAAAAGGTCTCTAGTTGTTTTTCAAATGGAGCTATATTTGCGCTAGAAAACGTGATAGGTACTTATTTAAAATAAAGAAATCGTATAAAAAAAAGTCTTTTTTTTTTTTTCCCCCGGTTAATCGTTTTTATTATAAATTCCGTTTCGAAAATCAAAAAACCGACTTACGTGTTTACAAAGCAGATAAAATTGACTTTCAGAAAAGGCGCTACACTTATACATCGGAGCAAATTTACCAGGAAAAAAAACGGGTCTGCAGACCAGAACAAAGAAGAAAGAACAAAAAATGAACATCTCTGTAAAACCAATAGCTCCATCGCCACGCCCGGAATCTAAAACATCAGCGATTTCAAACTGCAATTATTAACATGTAGCGGTTTAAATCTCGCCGCCGGTTAACGGCGGTATAACATTAGTAACGCGGACGTTACGTAAGTACACCAATTATAATGGGTAGTGTAACAAGAGAGATAACGCGCATATTATACGTAATTAAAAATTAAAAATAAAAATCGTTCGATTTGAAAATTCGAAAATCCGCAATATTATTCACGTTTATTAAAAAATAAAACTTGATTTACGACTTGTCGGGCGGAAAACTCTAGTTGTTTTTATATGTACACGCGGGTAATAACATACGAATAGGTATTTATAATAATTATTGTAATGTATTACGCGGGATTTTTTTTCCTTAATTAAACGTTTAGATTATATTACGGTTAAACACATTAAAACACGTGTTGGTTTTGTATAATATTAAATGTAGTTTACGATACGTTATAAATAATTTATGGATTCAATCGAAATATCCGATTCCAATGTACGTGTACACGATTTAGCAACACTATAATATTATTGTAAACTTTAACCGCTCCGAACGGTTATTATAATAATAGCAATAAAGAAAATGAAACCGGCTTATTTATGAGCGATTTTTAGACACGTTGTACAATTGTACTTTATACACAGGTACTCGTGGGTACAGGCGTTTATAATAAATTAACAGGACAGATTTTAAGACTTTGAAAACGAAAAAAAAATTTTAAGTTTAATCGACATGAAGGGTGAGTATACGATTTGAACGAGTATAACGAGCGTATGCCGGTTAATCATTGATATTGATTCGGTTAAACCAAATCAATGAGTTATTCGAAAAATAAAAAAATACCGACAAGCTAAAACGCGTAAAAAGTCAATCGTTTTACTATAACAAACCGTAGAGTCGAGTTGAAAGTTATAATTCGAATGTTTACTGCTAAATTTTACATTCTTTTGACCGTCTCTAAACGGTTGGGAATTTTCACTTGGGACAAAGGCGAAGAAAAAGGAAAAATAACTTGCTTGTTAAGAGTGATATTATTTTGTTGACTAATGAAGATTTATATTGTTAATGTCACGGTGAATCAAACTTTAAGTGACACATTGCATAAACGGAATGATGGAAATTAAACATTTCAACATTAAAAATAATAGCTTTCTATATTTATGGAATATTTAATACAACTAGCTATTTAAAAACTAAAAATGGTTAATAGTACCAACCCCAAAAACACGGGCGACAAAAAATAATGATAATTTAAAAATTTAAAGTTGCTTATATTTCATAAATTTACTGAAAAAATTCAATGTAAGGTTGCGTGTAACACAATGGTTTCCAACCTTTTTTTTATTTTACGCCCCTTTTGTAGATTTAAACGTACAGATAAACGAAAAAAAAACAAAGCCATCAATAAAAAAGTTAATGGGTCGTTATTCAATTCCCCCCCCCCTATATTATTAGCTACGATAGCAGTTTAATAAATATCAATTTTACTTCGTAATGACTGCTCGCACCTCCCCAAAAATGTGTTTATTAACCCCAAGTTGGGAAACGCCGGTGTAACGCATTTAATTGTACTGATTAAATGTGTTGTTTTACTCTCACAACGTTTTGTATAAAAGTAATAAAATATTTTAGTCGGAAAGAAGTAAATAATTGCGGTAACGATATAATTATAATAAAAAGCAAATAGTTTCGATTAAGCTGACAATATCTGTTTAATAGGCAATACATTGATACGATTATCATTGATCATATTAAACGGTATATTATCGAACTAACTAGATACCCTAGTTGGATCAATAAAATAATATTTTTGTTAACTCAACGTAGGATTTTGTTACATTATAATAAGTGTGATATTTTTGGAACTACATGCTACGTATACCAGATTTCCGAAGGAGGGGGTTCCAGGTGATAATCATATAGGGGGGGAGCAAAAATTATACCAGGAAAATGTCTAAGGAAAAAAAGGCACAGGCAATGCTGATGAGTGAGCCACATAGGGAGGAAGACGGAAGGAACGATATAGCGTGATTTAATTTGCACGTGACAATAAAACCGTTGTTAACAAAAAACGATTCTGAGTAAAGTAAGTTTTCCCTTATTGTCGCGAATTTATAACCAGGAAATAAAAAAAAATTATACAAAAAATCGCCAGTTTTTCGCCATATATTATTGAAAACTAAATAGAAAATCTGCAAAAAAATTACTTTCTCGACGAACCTACTAAACCGAAAATGTCGCGAGCAAGTCCTTGCACAAAGTTTTATCGGTCGGAGCAAGATTTCTGGTAGAAACGAAGTTTACAGATTGCACAAACGAAAAAACAAACAAATACACGCACATCGCACAGTAAATCCAATGTACATTCCTCGTCGCTTTTCTCAGAATCCGAAGAAGATAAATTTTTTTTTTGCCCGTATAACTCGTAGGGGCGCTAATATTATTTAAGTTTTGCCCCGGCCGTCATAATATCTGTAAATCAGACGTTGTATACACGGTGTATCCGTGTGTACCCGTGCGCAGTCTCGAAACGATCGTATCGCGATTTCGGACAAAACAATTTTTACGACAACGGTATTACGCGTTTCCAAAGATTCGTTCGTGTTTTTCGTGTTTCGTCGGTATTACGCGGTTCGCGCACCTCGGGTCGGGGTTCCGCGTGTACCCAGGTTACCCAGCTTCGAACGGTTTCGCGCGTACCACTATACGAGCATGCACCATCAAGATACGCACAAGTCGGGTGGGGATATATACCAGATACCAGATACGCCGAATACAATATACATATTGTACGATAGATACCTGTGCCGCAATATAAATCAAACGACAACCGGCCCGGTATAACGTGTATACGGATAAATGTGTGTGCGTTTTTTTTTTTTTTTTTTTTTTATCAAATATCGCGAAACAGAGCCGTACACTGCGACACATGCGACAATTTAATACGAACCGTACGCGTACGCACGCATAATATAATAATACCGTGTAATGCCATTTTGACTTTTAACCCGGCGGCGGCGCACTGTGAAACTATAATACGTGTACGTACTGCAGTACGACGGCGTGTAATATTTATACGTCGAGCGTTCGCTAGACGGTTTGTCCTTTTTTTTTTTTTTTTTT